TGCCATAGCTGAGTTTGACCTTGCTGCTTATACTGTTATGATTGGATGCTGACATGCTTTATGTTAGGTTTATTATATTGTTGTTGTTGAGACTCTGTTGGGCTTTGTTGTCTTATTTGGTGAGCATGGGGGTTGTCTATGCCACATTGATTGACTATGTCTTATTTTAGATTCGAGTTGTATTAATGTATCAGGATTATGGTCCAGACTGCGTGTTGTAGCTTCGTGATTTAGATACTCATATTTTATATTATGAGGTTATTCAGTGTAGATAGCTGTCTATTTGCAATTACATACAGGAAAGAAAAAGAACTAAGTAATCAACTTGGTAATATTAATGACGTCATAAATGAAAATAAAAATTTATTCCGCATTTTTAATTAATCGTGGCTTAATACGATGACATGTTAACAAACCGGGTATACACGGGGCGTTACATTTTATGGTATCAGAGCACTTTCTAGGAAAAAGCATGTATGTATTGCAATAACTTAGGATGTACTGTTATGCGTCTTGTCTTGTGTGTTTCTTCTATCTGGTTTCGCTATGATGATGCAAGTGTGACCACATTGCATGGGCCTGATCAACTCATTCTTTGTGTAACTTGTGCAGAGTCATGGTAATACCTAGGAGAAATCGTGAGACGACTGAGGGTCGACCCGACCCGATCCTGACTGCATTAGCTGAGATGCAGGCGGCTAGACTAGCCGATCAGGAGGCCGCTAGATTGGCCAACCAAGCGATGGACGCCGTTCGAGAGGCAAACCGGAAGGCCACGAAAGATGTTCTTGAGGCGAACAGGCTGGCGAACATGACCATGATGAGGGTCATGTTGGAGGAGATGAGGGCTGGCCGCAATGAGGATCATTTCCCTCCACCACCACCTCCAATGCCACCACCACCACCGCCTCCACCCAGTCTTCAGGACGATAGCCTGAGTCACGTTGAGGGTGACATTCATCTTTCTGGGGTGATGGAACCTTACTTGGAGCCTGTTGAGGATCGTGACGTGATAGACCGCCGGCTTAATGCTTTCCGCAAGCATAAGCCACCCTCTTTTGATGGATCTTATGATCCTATTACTGCTGCGAGATGGCTACAAGCGTTGGATAAGATTTACGAGTCATGCAGTGAACTGATCCGCAAAAGTTGTTGTTTGCGACGTATATGCTGGAGGGCGATGCACATGAGTGGTGGATGAACACCTCTCATGCCTATGAGATGCAGGGTCATGTGATGACGTGGCCGTTCTTTGAGGACTGTTTCCTTGGGAGGTATTTCCCATATGATGCTCAGGAGAGGAAGCGGGGACAGTTTGACAGGCTGGTGCAGCGAAACCTACCACCGGTCGTGTGTACACTTTGGATCGGCAGCAGTCAGACCGAGCTCTGAACCTTGTTAGAGGTACCGTTTCTATTGGTTATTCGACTGTTGATGTCTTGTTTGATTCCGGGGATACGCATTCCTTCATTACTACCCCGATTGCTGTGGGGCTTGAGTTGCCCAGTGCGGTGCTTTCTCCACCGTTGCAGGTGACTACCGCCACCAGAGAAAAGTGTGTTATGATTGACTGTTGCGCCAAGCGAGTTGTGATGTCTCCGTGTGATTCCACAACCAGTTCCTCGCCTTATATTTTAGTGCTGCAGGCTAGGAGAGCCTTGAGAGCAGGGACATTCAGTTATGTCATGTTGGGAGGTTTGGTGAGTGGGTCACAGGAGGATATCGCTGGCATTCCTGTGGTGAAGGAATTCCTCGAGGTGTTTCCTGAGGAGATTCCTGAGTTTCTGCCCCAGAGGGAGATAGAGTTCTCCATAGACTTGTTGCCTGGTGTGGGGCATATTTCATTAGCTCCATATCAGATGTCGCCACTAGAGTTGGCTGAGCTGAAGAAGCACATTGAGGATCTTTCGGCGAAAGACTTCATTCGACCGAGTGTGTCTCCATAGAGAGCACCGATCATCTTTGTGAAAAATAAAGATGGGACCATGCGATTGTGCACTGATTATAGGCAGCTGAACAAGGTGACAATCAAGAATAAGTATCCCCTTCCTCGTATTGATGATATGTTGGATCAACTTAAAGGAGCTTGTGTGTACTCGAAGATTGATCTCCGGTCCGGATACCATCAGATTCGGGTGAAGCCGGAGGATTCCCGAAGAACGAGTTTCGTTTGAGATACGATCATTATGAGTATTTGGTGATCCTGTTTGGACTCACCAATGCACCCGCAGTGTTCATGGATTTCATGAACAGGATTTTCCAGCCGTACCTGGATCAGTTTGTGATCGTCTTTATTGACGATACCTTGATATACTCCAAGACGAAGGAGGAGCATGCCGAGCACTTGAGGATTGTGTTGCAAGTGCTGAAGGAGAAAAAACTTTACGCTATGCTTTCAAAATGTGAGTTTTGGCTCAAGTTTGTGAAGTTTCTTGGGCATGTGATTTCTGCTGAGGGATTTGTAGTGGATCCCAACAAGATTGAGGCCGTGTTAGATTGGGAGAGGCCCAAGACGGTTACTGAGGTTAGGAGTTTCCTGAGTTTGGCTGGTTACTACCGGAGGTTCATTAAAGGATTCTCCACAATGGTTCTACCATTGACTCGCCTTACCCGAAAGGAGACTCCGTTTGTGTGGACTCACGAGTGTGAGGAGTGCTTTCAGAAGTTGAAGGAGAGATTGACAACTGCACCAGTGTTGATCCTTCCCGATCATGTGAAGCATTTTGAGTTGTACTGTGATGCCTCAGGGAAGGGACTGGGTTGTGTGTTGATGCAGTCCGGTATAGTCGTTGCTTATGCTTCGAGGTAGTTGAAGCCTCATGAGGAGAACTACCCGACTCATGATTTGGAGTTGGCTGCTATTGTGTTTGCTTTCAAGATTTGGAGGCATTATCTGTTTGGCATGAAGTTTGATGTGTTCAGTGACCACAAGAGCTTGAGGTACCTGTTTGACCAGAAGGAGCTGAACTTGAGACAAAGGAGATGGATGGAGTTTCTGAAGGATTACGACTTCGAGTTGAAGTACCATCCTGGCAAGTCCAATGTGGTAGCTGATGCTTTAAGTCAGAAATCCGTTATCCTATCCAGTTTGATGATAGGTAACTTTGATGTGGTTGAGAAATTTCGAGATCTGATAGTGACCTCTCTATTTGGGGGTGCACTTCTCGAGATGGAAACAACAGATGTTATCAATGAACTGATGGAGAAGATCAAAGAGGCGCAGGTGCAGAAAGAGTGCATTGACTATGTGAAGAACCAAGATGGTGTGTCTTGGAATGAGGATGGTCTATTGACTTGTAAATTGGCATAATGTGAAGAAATGAAAGTAAGCAATAAGATGCATGCCTTGTGTAAATTTCATGGCATAGTAACATTTTATTGATTTCGTTTTGAATTCTTTCTCTAGGTGTTCCTAGGGACTGAGCATGTTTGGATTTCTTTGAAGCTAAATAGGTAACTTGTGTTACAAGTGAGCAAATTGGTAAAGCTTCAAAAGGTAAGCTCTATGTTTATGGGATTCGCTCCTACTTTATGTTCCACCGTAGTGTACGGACTGTGGTCAGGTTGTATGATATGTATTAGATATATGATATAGTTGCATTCATATAGAACTATATGATGATGTGATGTGATATGTTTTGATGTGTTTACTTTGATATGTTTTGATGTGATTTCGGTAATGATCTTTGGCCATTGATTCTATATGCACTGATGTCCACTTGGGGTCCTCCCTGGGGACTGACTGTGTATATATCTGTTATATGTTGAGTTCCGCTTGGGGTTCTCCCTTGGGAACATGTGCACTGATTTCTGCTTGGGGTTCTCCCTTGGGAACATGTGCACTGATTTCTGCTTGGGGTCCTCCCTTAGGATTGACTGTGTACACCTCTGTTATGTGATGATCTCTGGCCATTGATCCTATGTGCACCTATGTTTGCTTGGGGTCATCCCTCGGGACTGATGGTGTACACCTTTGATATGTTCCGGTTCCGCTTGGGCTCTTCCCTTGGGAACACATACGTTGATTTTCGCTTGGGGTCATCCCTTGGAAATGACTGCGTACGTCTCAGATAAGATATGTTTTGTTCTGATGTGATTATTGTGATGATTTTGTATATGATATTTGTTACGTATGTTGATTCCCGCTTAGGGTCATCCTTGGGAATGACTGCGTACGTCTCTGATAAGATATGTTTTGTTCTGATGTAATTATTGTGTTGATTTTCGTAAATGAAATTATGTGCATTGATTTTCGTCTCTGATAAGTACGTTTCAGAATACTGTGTGCATCGTTGATAAGATATGTGTATATGCTTGTTCGACTATGATATTTGCTTATATGATGTTTTGTATATTATGTATCTGACTGTCATGCATGAAGTGAGACCAGGGTATGGAGAGTTTTCCATAAACCTGGAGCTTACTAGAGATTCGTCTCTAACCCCATTTGGGGATATGATTTCAGGAACACAGTTAATTGAAGAGCCCTCATGGGACAAGGACACTACCCGTGGCTAGAGGTACTAGTATGAGGATATGGAGTTCTGGGTGGCTGGACGCTACTATTTATTATGCTTGAATCTATTGCAATCAACTTTCTTATGCCCCTTTCCCTTACACCAGAAACACCAAATAGTTTTCTTAAAAGAAGATGGCTTGGGACCTCCTACCATTTGGTGATGACTATTACTTGGTTTCCATGAACTTTTATTTCCATGGTAAGTATCATATGAATCTTTCTTGTGCTTCCAGTTACCTTTGTTGGAATGAGATTTACCATGAACAGAAAGGAAGGCGAGGTTTTCAGATAAGTCATTCTTTTCTTTCATGAGCTTCTCTTCCTCAGCAACACATTTAGAAAGAAGGTCATTGATGGTCCATTTTTCACCAAAAGTGTTTTAGGAAGTCTTGATTTGTGTGAACTCAGCAGGTAAACAATTTAAGGCATGTGAAATAAGAAAGTTTTCATTCAGAACAATATTCTGGGCTTTCAGTTTGGTCTACACATGAACCATCTTCAAAATAAATTCTCTTACACCCCCATTATTACCATATCTCATATTTAACTCCTTCATTAAATATCCATACTCAGCATTATCAGATACTCGGTACCTATTTCCTATGGCATCTAGGATTTCTTTAGCACTTGTGGTTTCAGGCAATCCACTAAGCAGGTGTTCAGAAACAGTCCTCTTAATAGCAATCAAACCAAGTCGATTAGACCTCTCCCACTTAGCTAAAAGTTGTTTCTCCTCAGGTGTACTCTCTGCATTTACTACAGGCTTATCCTCACGTAGAGCTAAATCAAGATCAACAATTCCTAAAGAAAACTCTAGGTCTTGCTTCCATTTGTTATAATTGGATCCAGTCAAGATTTCAATTGAAACAACACAATTATTCATAGCAAAGTTCACTATTAAGGCAAAACATGAATGCATCAGAATAAACTAAAGAGCTATATACACCTTCAATTAAATCAAAATATTATAATGAGGCCAACATAATAGCACATCCCCCTTTGGGCAGAATGCACTAACCAAGGCTGTCACCAAGGTTAGAACCTTAGATGAGTTAATCAATGAGAACAACAGGTTGTTATAACAACGCCAACATAACAGTACATTATCCCTTGGGCAGAATGCACTAACCAAGGTTTTAACCAAGGACAGAACCTTAGATGAGTTCATCAATGAGCACAACATTGAGTTCGAAAATTCATTCTCTTTGGGCAGATAGATCTCTAGACCAATGAGCCTCCAATAACTTCATCTACAACCTCAAAGAAAAATTGCTCAGTGAGCATACATTGACTTCAGAGATGTGTCCCCTTTGGGCAGACAGATCACTTAGACCAATGCACCTCCATTAACTTCATCCCAAATAAATTTATAGTTATAACACACAATTACCCCTTTGGGCAGGAAATTGAATGAAATAACCAAAATCATTCCCAAACACATCTTGCATTTAATCAATTCAAGCGGAAGCATGCACCTTAATAAACAGGATATTAGAGCAAGCATTACAAGCTGAGAGTAATCAACACTATATTATAACAACATCTAAGTCATATCATCATTTGATGCAAAATATAACAAATTAATTTATTATTATTATTATTATTATTAATTTTTTATCATATTTTTCTTCAAAATATATTCAGAAAAAATAATGAAATATAATGTAATGTTCAACATACATCTAGCCATCAAAATCTCAAATCAAATATTGATAATAAAAAATGTATCTAAATATAAACACATAAATATCATATGTGTTATTCATTAAATTTCTAAATTTTGATGTATATATCTAATTAACTAGCTCAGCTCCTAATATAAATAATAATAAAAAGTTTCCCATAAAAAAATTTCTCATTCAACTCTAATTTTTTTAAACAAATATTGAATACACAAATGAACCATAATAATTAAGAGGGAGGAATAGTAAATAATTCTTCATAATATTATATCAACAAAGTGCCAACAGATATAATATAATAACATTTTTTTATTTGACTCATATACATGTAGATTGACAACGCATAATTAATCTCATGAAATGACATTATACTACATGAATAAATATATATATATTACATTATATTAACAATTTTTTTATACTACATGAATAATGCGGTCATGGAATTGTTACTGACTGGCCAAAACTTCTGAGATTCCTGTTTCGGTGCAAATAGAAAGACGCCTTGATCGAATTCAAACATCCATTTTCTGTCCTTATATAAATAATTGTTGTATCAAGAATTAATTCAACAAACATCTCCTACAACATTTTTTTCTTCTTTTTTCTTTTTTCTTTCTTTTTTTATGCCTAGAGAGACTAGAGGAGCTCAATCAATATCTTCTTCTGCTTGACTAATAATATCAATGGACACAAAAAGATTTCCAAATTTTCGATCAATGACATCATCCTCGCTCCTCGCTCTCTTCTTACCCCTTTTTGCAACAGATATAGACACAGGAGAAGTTTATGTGGCTTCTTGGGTTGCAATGTCAGGGAGGGGAGGTTCCTAATTGGGTATTGTTGTATTGTCTTCAAATAGCTCATAAATATCATCCAAGGCAGCCCCTCTTTCAGCAACTCCAGCTGCTTCTTTGTCCATTTGTTGAACTACATCCTCTGGACCCTCGGCATGGTCTCCAGTTGCCATGTCCTATCCAAAAATTGGTCCCAATGAGTTGTAGTATGGGAATGGTTTTTTGTAAAGGCCCTTTGCGTTTGGATGAGTCTGCAAACAGAATATTGAGTGTGTTTAAAGTTAAAACAGAAAATAAAACATAAACATTGACATATGTGACTTGTCCACTGAGATAGTATGTTTTACCTTAACCCATTCCGTGTAAATTTCCTTCTCGATATCAATCATTTTATCCTTATTATTCCAGCCGAAACCGCTTCCCCCATTGAACCCAATCATTTCAGCAATTGCATTGTAGTGCTTTTTAAGGAGTTTGATCCTAGATGTAATGTGGGGATTGCCTTTAAGTGTACATCCAGTAATTTTACCATGCATCAGCTTCTCTATGTGATTAGGGAATCCAGGCCTGAAATCGTTGTCACCATTCCAAGCTAAACCTGACTCAACAAGACATTCTACAAGGACTCTGTCCTCTTCCGTAGTCCAAGTATGATTAGCCCGTTTCGTGGATTGACTATCCTTTTCAGCCATCTGCATGAATTTAAGAAAATAATATCTTGTTTGTGGACAAATCAATGGACAGTATGATAAAATATTACATAAAATAACACATAAGTGTAATGGAATATGGTATCTATTACATAGCCTAACATGAAAAAAAATTGAGTACAATCACACAATTGTTCTGATTTCAAACTAAGTCAATATAACTAACAATTAAAAACATTATAAATGACAGCATACAAAACCAAATCGAACACAATTCCTCCACGTGTCAAACATATGTTGCACCAATTCAACCCCCCACTTTGTTCAAGCATTAGATGACTCAACATGAGTTATCATTTCATGTCCTTGAAAGTTGTCTTCACTTCTGCCATGTCCACTGTATTATCCTCTAAAGGGTCAATAGGCATTTCATTTCTTATATGATTATAAAGCAAGCAACATGCAGTGATTATTCCGCATTGCGTTTTCACCGGGTAAAAAGACTTTGACCTCACAATGGCCCAACGCCCTTTCAACATCCTAAAACATCTTTCAAACACATTCCTAGTACCTGAGTGTTTCATGTTAAAAAATTCTTGCGGTGTCATTGGCTGTGCCCCATGTCTCCACTCACTAAGATGGTATCTTTGCCTTCTATAAGGTTTAAGGAATCCTTCCCCATTCATATAACCAGCATTGGCCAAATAATTGTAACCTAAGACAAAATAACCGACAGGTGAGCAACATATGTGACTACAGTTTGTACATAATGATATCTTCGTCAGGTGAAGAATGTATTTTTTCCTTAGTTACCTTTTGGGACCCTTAATCCATTTGTACGAGAGATAGCGTCTCTGAGAACCTTTGAATCTGCTGCTGATCTCCCCCATCCAGGAAAAACATAAATAAATTGACAATCCTGCGAACAAATACACAACACGTTTGTTGCTATCTCACCCCTCCTAGTGCGGTATCTTGGCTTTTCAGCTTGAAGGGGATTAACCTTGATGTGGGTCCCATCCAAAGCTCCGAGACAATTCTATAAAAACAAAGAACCAAAATTAGAAGACAAGTCAATATAAAAGAAAGTATCATATTGTAAATTATGCGGAAGACATTATGTATTGTGTTAATGATACCTTGAACCACTTCCATTTATCATCGGTTGAGTTTTGAAGGAAGGGATCAGGGTGTTTGAGTAGTACAGTGTGACATCTTAACATAGCCTGCAACACCTTGGTGAATTGTCTACTTATTGTTTCACCTGACCTCATAAACTGTTTTTTAATTATCTGATTCTTAACATCATGATCCAATATGTGAAGAAAGATTGCAACCACCTCTTCTACCCCCATCTGTCTTGACGGTTGAAGAATCCCAACATTTTTCAATAAATCACACAAATTATGAAAACATCTCATATCCATCCTTGTATTCTTAATACAAGAAGTGTCAGTAATATACATTATTCTATGGAGATTAACTTTCCTTATCGGAGCCCTATTGCAAAAATCCCACTTCACTCTCCTCCTTGACCTTTACCTTCTTTCAATATTAGCTAATAACAGACCATACATTCTCACTAGTAACTTAGTGAAGTGATTCAAAGACTGCAAATGACAAATGATAACAACAATGACACTCAACTCCATTCCTTTGTTCATTGCCTCAATCTAACACAACAAGGTCAAAGTAATTAACATTAATCCAACAATGAACAACGGGAAAAAGTATAAAAACACAATGAAAAATACCAAAAATAAAGGGAAAAAGATTGTAAATTGGTTCGGCGCAAATATTGAGGTCGTTCTATGTTGGCTCATATCATGTACTAATTTCAACATGTGCATAGGGGCACCCTAAAAATTAACTTCTCCCATTGATCATTTGATTTCACATATAGGACCAAAAAAAATTTGCAATTAGCTTTTTTTTTTAATGAATGTTTTTGACATCGTGTATCCCAAATTTACTTTATGCTTTTTACATGTCTTATCATATTATGTCTGTCTTCTAAGGCATATAAAGTTGAAATAACTCACCCTTAAAAGTACTTTTGTAATATAATAATTTGTCTAGGTGAAATAGAAGGGCACTTAAAAACTTAAACTTCTTGAGTTGCTTGGGTTAACTCCACAAAAAAACATCTCAAACTTGCCAGGTCAGCATTGGGGTCGGTAAAATAGGAAATTCATAAAGATGTTATACAGGATTTCTGGTATCATGTCAAGTCAACTAAGCATGGAGCTAAACATTCTGTATAGTAGCACAAGAAGAAAAGTATTCTAAGTAATTTGACATGTAATGTTAATTCCATATAAGAGACCATAAGCAGTTTTATAAAATATTCAAATGGACTATGGCTGAATACATAGAACATAACTCATATGCTGCTAGAGGTTGCAGCGAGCATCAACAACTTATGATCATGTGGATGAGAAAAAAAGGAAAATAACTACTTTTGAAATCCGTATGGAGCATCTGCCAAAGCACAAAACGGACTCCACCTCATGCGAAAAGGGTACTTAAGTATAAAAATAATGTGTCATTTTTACTAAATATTGCAGAACCACCATCAAACTTCATTTCACTGCAATTGCACCAATATTAGCCATACACAGAGAATTTGAAGCATTGCTTGTGCAATATTAACAATTAAGCATCTAAACACTTAATTCTACTGTCAAATTCCAATTCTGTTGTTCCTCCACAACTTCAGCATGTTGGCAAAGCTGAGGTCCTAATCAAGGTAAT